GATATTCTGGTATATAATTTTCATTATTTTCTAGGCATTTTAAAAAAGGAATACTACTCTAGATTTTTTTTTAAACCAGCTTTCTCTTAAAACTGTAATATTGGTAACCATGTTTCCACATCAACAAATCTTCCCCTACAACCTCATCTTCATAGCTTCCAGTCTTCATTATCCCCAGCATTGCCATTTTCAAAGTCAATACCTGTCTCAAGCTCAGACAGAGGTCTAGTTAACTGTGATGACCTTCAAAGAGCTCTGGTGTTTCTTCACAGCAAGGCATGTTTCTCTCTTTTGCTGCCTCCTGCACCTGCCAATTATTTGATGAAATTTGGAGGATAAAAGTTTACAGAAAGATGCATAGAGGGGTTAATAGGAAGCAGTCATTGTAAGTGTGCTATGAGGTAACAAGCAAGATTTAAGGTGTCCACACATAAGACTGCCCCAGAGAGTTAGTTGTGCGTGCAAGATGCTAGGTGTCTGCTGAGGGATCGGAAGTGGGGTTGAAATTTCACTGGCACCCTGCTGGCCAAATGTGGTACTGCACCCCTCTGGAGGCGGGGACATTGACTATAGTTTGCACAAAGACACGGTAGACGGTGGGGCCGTGGTTCACACTGGAGCGGCAGTTGTTAGATTGGCCTGATACTTAAGATCGACCAAGTAGGAGGCATTTTCCCATTTCATAAAACAAAATCTGCAGTGCACAGGAAGCTGCTACAACAGCAAGAATGCCTTCACTTGCTCAAAAGCAACTAAAGGGAGTAAGCAAGTGCTCACAGCTATGGCTGGCATGCTAAGGAATTTACAGAGTGGGAAAATGAGAAAAGACAAGGAAAGGGAAGATAAAATAATGAAAACAAAAGAGAGGTAAAGGGGGGTGGGATGGAGGATAGGCTTGGCAGAACATTCTCCTTAATGGTCCTGTGTCATGGCTGCTGAGGACTGGTGATGTCAATAACAGCCAGAAAGGCAGGAGTGAAAGGTACTTCATGGCAGCCTAAGTCATCAATATCACGTTGAGAAGGATGACGAGATTAAGGGTGAATAGAAGAAATTTTAAACTACAATATTGTAACCACGTTTCCATATCAACAAATCTTCCCCCACAAACTCATCTTCGTAGCCTCCAGTGTTCATCATCCCCAGCATTGGCTAAAGAGGAAATTTAGGGGTATGTGGGGAGAAAATACAGTAGTATAACCCCAGAACAAAAGAGCAATCTCTCCTTAAAGTCGAAGCCACCTGGCTCCCCTAAGAAATGAAGTCCTCTGCACTTTCAGTGAGCCCGCATACCTTAAACAAAGAGGAGAACACATGAAATGTATACACAGCACAGGAGCCGTCCGAGTCGCACATAAGCTGGTTGATGTGGCTGCGCCAGGCCTCCTCGGCATCGTCACAGGCTGCGGGCTGAAAGGCGGCAAGGATGGCTGAGAAGAAGGGTGAGGGAGGGGGAGAGACTCCCCTGTCACCTTCTCCAAAGCTGGAAAAAATGAAAACAACTATGTCAAGAAGTGATATCCTTATCATCCTATACTGGGTTTTATATCTTCTGACCCTGAGAGTCAGCAAAATGAGGTAACTTTTCTACCCACTCTTCCTTTTGAAGTTGCTTTGGGGACTTGGCTTTCATTCAGAGGTCACTGCAATTATTTTTGGTTTATTTGTTTTGAGTCTGGCTCTGTTGCCCAGGCTGGAGTGCAGTGGCGTGATCTCAGCTTACTGCAGCCTCCGCCTCCCGGGTTCAAGCAATTTTTATGCCTCAGTCACCAGAGTAGCTGGGATTACAGGCGTGTGCTACCATACCCAGCTAATTTTTGTATTTTTAGTAGAGATGGTATTTCACCATGTTAGCCAGGCTGGTCTTTAACTCCTGGCCTCAAGTAATCCACCCAGCTTGGCCTCTCAAAGTGGTAGGATTACAGGTGAGGGCCACTGTGCCCGGCCAGAGGTCACCGAGATTCTTTCATGATTCAAGGAAATAGAATTTGCACCTCTAGAATTTCTGTGATTCCTCCATTTCTGATTCCCTTTCTATAGACTTGGTGCCTTTTTTAGCCTTCAGCAAGGGCCTCTCACACTCACAAAGGCCATGCCCCAAAGTAAACCACAGTTCCTATGCTTTGGCAGTTTCATTCTTCATTTTTCACTTTGAAAAATTATAAAAATTTTGAATCTTCTAATTTTTCCTTTCTGGAGGGAGAATATTAATAAATACGTATGCACAAATGCCTGCAAGACAAAGATGGAGGAGACAAGGAAACCAGAGACATGCAGAGAAAGAGAGACAGAGAGGCAGGAAGAAAGAAGAGATAATGAATACAACATGAAAAGTCAAATTCTTCTCTAGTTATTATCTTAACCTTTTCCTTTGATGGACAGATATCGCTCACTGTAACAGAAGGCCTTTGTCTAGCATATCAGAAGCTTTTACTTAGTTCTTATTTTCAACTTTCAGAAGAGTAATTTTAGGATCTCAACTTTCTTTTTCTGAAGTAGACCTGTAGCATTATTATTTCTGATTTATTCTAGATGCTGGATCAGTCTAACCTCTGGTATTTTTATCTATTTCTCCTCACATTTTTTTTTCTGTTTGTATATCTCACTAGTCTAAGAAATATCAGCCACCAGGGCAAAAGATGCCCGCTTAAAGAGTAGGTATTTACTATATAAAGAGCCTCTTGTTCCAGTGTTTTAATTCCAAATGCGAACAGCTTATTTCCAAGGCTTGCCAAGTGTTGCTTATCTTCAAAGCTTAAAGGTCTGGACCATGTTTCCCAGGCTCTTCCTTGGTGTTTTACATTGCTTTCTGGCCTTATGAATTCATATGTAAGTGTCCTTTCTTTGTTCCACATGAGGCCCTACAATGGGGTTGGATGACTGACTCAGCTGAGAGCCCACCACGATACATGTCGCTTTGGACTCCTTTATTAGGATGTCCCAGAAGTGCAAGTGTGACATTTAACTAGAGTGTGAATGCAATACAATGTACCATGAACATTCACACCACTCACATACGCCAAGGGCTCCATTACCTCGCCAGGGTAAACTGGTCCAGTGCCCGATTGCCTTTTTCTTCCCCCTCAGTCATGTCCAGGCTAAAGCTGTCACTGCATTCAAAAGCTGCTGGGAGTTCATTGATGGAACTAGAAAGATCATCCTCATGCACGGTGGTGTCCTCCTCCTCACGAACAGCTTCAGCCTGGAAGAATAAAAAGACAGAAGAATCCCCCAATATGTAAGAATACATTCAGGACAACCTGTTCACCTATGGAACAAATAAGAGAGAATGAAATGCTGATGGTGATAGAAATGGGGGCGTGTGTTTTCTAGCTACATTATAGTCCATTTCTAGGCTGGACTCTGTTCATTCTTTATCTTCTTTTCAATCTCTTCCATAATAGTCCCCACAGGGGCTCTCAATAGATTTTCATACGTGGCCCATGCTTATAGGGTATGAACAGTAAACCTGGAAAAGACAATCAAGACCTCCAATCCAGCCTCCACATTTTGCAGATGAGGAAACAGTGCTCCATGTAGGAAAGGGACTTGTCTAATATCAGGTCCACAGTCAGAGTTGGTGCTAAGACAAGAAACACTGCCTTTGGATTCAGAACTCTTTCCATGTCCAAACCCAGCCTTCTAAAGCAAGCCTATCCAGAGCTAATTCTCTAATATAGAACCCCTTTCCCAACGGAATGAGGAATCATCAGGGCCTGGCACAGTAGATGTCCAGGATACCTGTGGTGTGCACGAGTGATCCACAGTCCTTCCCTGAGCCTGTTGGGTTGCTTGGCCTTTCCACATAGGGAGTCCTCTAAGATCCATTTGCATGTATGCTTTACCCTCGAGAATACCCCTTGAAAATAACAGATATGAGTATCTGCTCTTACCTGACTACAAAATGTGGAATGAGCAGGACAATGAAAGGGCTCTAGGGCAGGCAGAACCACGATCAGTGAGAGGCAGGAAAGAGACATGCAAGTAAAATGGAAAAAGAGGCTAGGTTTGGGCCTGGGCCAGGGGGAAAAGGAGGACTGATTGTTCTTCAGGAGAGGAAGGAAGGCAACTGGATTCCAGATCAGAAGGGAGAGGAAGAAATATGCACATGTTACAGTGAGTCATTTTCTTAAAAACAAAAGGCAAAATAGCATTGTCTGTGAATTAGAGCCTTATCACGAGTTACATCTGTCCACTCATTCAGTGTGTAAATATATATATATAATACACATATTATACTTTGACTCTAGAATTATAGGGAAAATTACCAGGAATGATAAAAATATATTAAGGAAATAAGATATCTCATGTCTGTGGAGGAATTGCTGGTAAAAACTGAGTTTGAGATGTTTATCCGTATCTGCTTTTTAAAACTACAGTGCTGCCAACAGGGCTGGCCGTTGGTGCCTGGTCTAGGTTATTAGTGTACATATACTTAATCCATTAGAGAAGGGATGAGTTCTTATTAAAATACATTTTATTTTCTCTAATATCATAGATATATCAAACATTGTAGAAATGCAGCTTATATGAGAAACTGCATTCTGAAGGGATAGCTCTTCAGAAATGGGACTTGACATTTTCTTGGTCGGATAGATCTATTACTTAGGTAGTACTTTTTTTTTTTTTTTTTTTTTTTTNACCGAGTCTCCTTCAGTTGCCCAGGCTGGAGTGCAGTGGTGTGCTGTCTCCTCACTGCAACCTCCGCCTCCCAGGTTCAAGCAATTCTCTGCCTCAGCCTCCCCAGTAGCTGGGATTACAGGCACCTGCCACCATGCCCAGCTAATTTGTTTGTATTTTTAGTAGAGATGGGGTTTTACCATCCTGGCTTGAACTCCTGACCTCATGATCCACCTACCTTGGCCTCCCAAAGTGCTGGGATTATAGGCATGGGCCACTGTGTCGGGCTACCCCTTTTTATGAGAGTACCTTCTATGAGAAATCTGTATGTTTTCAGCATTTAAAATAGAAAAATTGAGTAAATGACCATATTAACAATGAGAAATATCAAATGCTAATAACTTCACATATCTTTTGTGATGTTTTTTCTATGAAATTTAATTTCATAATCTTAGGATTTTAATTTAGACAACTTTTCTTTCTAGGCTTTTATTATATTTGGCTAAAAAAGAACTCTGCTAATTCCAGGAATCCTGATTGTAGTAGCTTTGCAATGAGGCAATCTTGGAAATAATTACTATTTTAAGCTTCAATATTATTAGGTATTTGCAATTCGGTGATTGCCCTTGGTTTAAAGCACATTTATTTTCCTAGATTTCTGATCTATTTTTACTACACTATCAGAGAATATAGAATAGCCAATATTATATTTCTCCATTAGGAGCGTCAGAAGGAATATACTTTTATAACATGTTTTTCAATTTTATTTTTTCTTTTGAACTTGCACAACAATAACCAAACTCACGATAAAGAATGCTTGACTCTATCCTAATAGCAATAGATTATTTTGGTATTTCTACTATAAGGAAATACAATTCTATACCGATGGGCATACATGTGGACATAGCATGCAAGTGGATGGTTTTCAGAACATTTTAATAAAATAAACTTTAAATGAAATACATGCTGTTAGATTTTTTTTTTTTAATTAAGAAAATTACACCCATTATTATTTTTTCCTTACAGAGTCTGGTGAGAAGAGTTTTGTGCGAATCTGGCATAAGACTGTGATTGACATTAAAAATTCTGATAGTATGCCAAAAGGCAAGTACTGAATCAATGTACAAATCGTATAATTGTTTCCTACATAGGAAAAAATTTCCCCAAATACGTGCATACACCCACACCTCACTTAGCATATTGTTTTATAAAAGTCATGACAGAGATCAGCAGTTTCTCAGTCAGAGCGATCTCAGACATACACCACTGGTTTTGCCATCTACCAGCAGTGTTTATGCAAAATGTCTCATTTTAAAAAGACCTCAAATCAAGTCTTTTAGCCAAGAAGATGGCTGCTCAAGTTTGTGGGGGTAAAACAACCTCAAAACATAGGCTCACGTGCACAAACTTCTATTATTTTAAAAAAGAGACAAATAAAATGATAGTATCTCTACTTGAGACCCCTTAAGAATTCTCAGAAAATTGGAAGTGCTTTTTTTTTTTTAAAGGATACTACAAATCATCATTGCTAAAATCTCTTCACCTTTGAACCCTCAGAAATCTGCAGATTATTCATATCAGGCAAGGAAGCATCAAAGCTGGACATTCTGGTGTTAAAGGAATGAGGGTCCGTAGGGGCCAAGTCACAGGCTGTGGTGAGCAGCTCCATGGGATTTGTCTCTTCAGAGGGGGAAAGAGTCATGATCTATTTAAAAAGCAAAGGAAATTAAACATAGTATAAAGTTCCCATTCTTTGAAAGCTCCAATTATTCTCTAGTTATTAGTTAATATGTCTTAACTCTTCAACTTCCACATTTCACCATTATTGGACCTTAAACACAGCACCTAGTAATCCAGGTATTTTCAGATAATCACATCAAAATGTCTGTCTTATCTCCAAACTTTGAGATCTGGGGAATTTTTTAAAAAAGATTCCAGAATAATAAAAGGTATTTGGGAAAAATCTAGGCCTTAACAGATCTGGTGGCTTTCAGGGTGAATCACATGGACCCTCGTCTTTGTTTCTATTTGCAAACTACAGAGAAGACTGCCAGCTAGAACCCATTAGACACCACCTGACGGTTCTGATTTTAGTTCAGCAGCTGTGGGAAGTTTCTTTAGCTGCAACTGGAAACTATACTCCTGCATTAATTACAAAAAATAAGCCTCCCAATTCCTAGAGTGGGAGAGGTGCTACTTACTAGGTCTGAGTGCTCCAGGATCTGGCTGGCTGTGAGGTCCTCCTCCTCAGATGACTCATCGGAGTCCTCATGGTTCATTTTATTCAGGCTGGGAGTACTTCCTGACAGCTGGCGCTCCTCCAGAATCTGCATATCACACTTGTCCAGGCTGTCCAGAGAACGTCTGCGCACTCCCCAGTTGAAATTGTCCATACTCTCACCCTGAAATCACACCATCAGCCAGTTTTTTATGCCAAAATCCTCTTGCACTCACACGTTCACACTTTCAATTAGTCACAACTTAGGAACAAATATTATCATGATCAACTCTTAGGCTCTCATCTACTTTGGTATCAAACCTTTTGTTTACCCGATGTGAAAAGTAGTAAAATCACACTATTTTCATGTAAATGCAGGTGAAGTCATAGGTAGAAGTGGTGACATACTTTTCTTTGGCAGGGTGGGTAATTATTACATTTTGTTAAACGTTGATTTTGGTAAACCCTACCAATGATCTGGGCTTTCAAAAATCTGTAAGAAAGAGATCATTAGTATGAAAACTTCAAATAGGTGTCAGCCCCACCGCCCTGAGGTCGGCCCCTGTTTAGTATAGCTTTCAGAAGGAGAAAAAAGTAGGAGCTATGCTTGTAGCACATTCCAGAATCCTTTGGGTATTTAGTGGAAGAGCATTAGATAAACATTCCAGCCTGTCTCTAACACAGCGGTTTTCACAGATACAATGCAGAGTTAAAGACTATCAGAGCAGTTGGGCCAAGTCTGATGGAGCATGCACTATGCAGAGGCCGGAGCAGCCACACCTTAACTTTTGCTTTAGGCTCATCTTTAAATAACTGTCCCAGTGTAGAAAATCATTAATTTCCTGGACTCAGTACCAAATATTATTATTTTTATTTTAAGACAGAGTTTGGTTCTGTCGCCCAGGCTGGAGTGGTGCAGTGCCACGATCTCAGCTCACTGCAACTTCCACCTCCCGGGTTCCATGCCTGCCTAATTTCTTTTGTAGAGATGGGGTTTTGCCATGTTGCCAGGCTGGTCTTGAACTCCTGATCTCAAGTGATCCACCTACCTTGGCCTCCCAAAGTGCTGGGATTACAGGTGTGAATCACCGCAGTCAGACCCAAATATTATTGTTGATTTGTATGTTTTGAATTACTGAGAACTAGCTTAAGTCACCATTTAAGTGTTAAAGAAAGCTTTTAGTTGCATTCAGACTTTTTCTACAAACCATCAGTTATTAAGTAAGTGTATTTGACTTTCTTTTTTCTAGAAATGGATTTGGGTTTTATTTTTCTCTGTTAAGATAGGAATAAAGGAAGAGAAATATTACTCAGCTGACTAATAAGCAAAATTTAACATAAACAAATGATCTGACAAAATCCAGTACAGAATCTTTTCATTTACTGGTAATTCGAAACACTGCCTGATGGTTAATTGAAATAAAATAAAACAATATTTTCTAATGAGAGCTCAGTGAACAGCATAATGTGAGAGATGCAAATTACTGTTAAACTTATGAGCATTATCATTTATTAATTTTCCTGTTTTAAGGATCCATTGTGTCTGACTCCTAGTGAAACAAGCTTGCCATTCTCACAGACTTGTCATATAACAGAGGCACAGCTTTTCCACAGTCTGCTTGGGCTATTCATGGTAGAAGGCAACAGGTATAAATCTTTAGCACAATCTGGATAAGATATACAAATTATCATTATTCACCCTCACATATGATATTCATGATTGCTCTTAGGGCTATATAATTATAAAAGAGAGTAGAGACTCAGAATATTATTTCTAATATCCAGTATCTGGTGTGATAAATTACCAGCACATATTTTTTCTTTTTTTCTGGTGGAAAATGGCTAACTGTTGCACTGGGATTTAAAAAACAGCCACTGCAGTGAGAAAATAAAAAATATATGAAAGAGGCAAAAGTTCCAGGTAGAAAAGGAAAATCCAATGTGTAAAGAAAGGAAAAAAATAAAGAAAAATCAGAGTACTAACTATACAGAGTAAAAAGCGAAGAATGTGAAAATTATAGGGTAAAATAAACACAATTCACAAAACTGACTCTCTTGTACCAAATGACTGGAAGGGTTAGATGAACTATCTTAGGTAGCGATTCTGGAGGTCTCCCACGCTGCACCTGAGACAGAACCATGAGCTTGCAGAGGAATACAGACATCCATGTGGGAGAACGCTACACCAGGCACAGGTTGCTGCTACCGCTGGTTTGGTGGTAGCTCTGGTGAAGACCTGAACCAATCAGGTGTGAAAATGGGGAGGCAGGAAAGCTGTTCTTGTAGGAATAAGGTTTGGCTGTCTTGCTGGCAGATGCAATATCTCCCTTGGAGGCAAGAGTGTTGGAACGGTTTCCCTAGTGGTGGCTGAGAGGTTGAGATGGAACAGTGTTGTAGTCTGGCCTGTTAAAGTCCACAGTAATTAAAAGTCAACCAGGCTTTCTCAGCATGGCCCCAGTGGGACAGCCACCCTCCATCCTTCCTCTCCCCCAAATGTCAGATTTGTATTTTATGTTACATACAAAGTGAAAAGTCAAAACAATTTTCTATATGTGAGAAAATGCAGAGGATGGCTAGTCCAGATGAACACTTTGTATATGTCAGTTATCAAACTTAAAAACCACTCAGTATTTATACTGAGATGGGAAAGTTAATGATTAAACATTCTAGAAATGTTAAGAAATAATATTTTTTGAAACATTTTTTCATATTAGAACTTTGTCAAACAAGGATTATTGCTGAAGAAGCTTGGGTGCACTGTGGTCAAAATATGTTCCCCCAAATGTTCTACTTAAAGTAAGTCTGATATACACAGATAGAGACTGATCATAGGTCAATTTGTCCGGGATGATCCAGTTTTAATGCCTGTTGTTTGGGCATAAATATTATTAGTATGCCCTTTTACTTTCAAAAGGGATGAAAAGTTACATAGTCACTACACAGAGACAGAGATACCCTTTAATTCCTGGGGAAAAAAAAGGATTCAACAAAGTACATATGGTATATAGTTAGATGCACATTGTTCATTTCACTCTTTTTTTTGAGACTGAGTCTTGCTCTGTTGCCCAGGTTGGAGGGCACTGGTGCGATCTTGGCTTATTGCAACCTCTGCCTCTTGGGTTCAAGGGATTTTCCTGCCTCAGCCTCCTGAGTAGCTGGGATTACAGGATTGCACCACCAGGCATGGCTAATTTTTGTATTTTTAGTAGAGACAGGGTTTTGCCATGTGGGCTAGGCTGGTCTTGAACTCTTGGCCTCAAGTGATCTGCCCACCTTGAGCTCCGAAACTGCTGGGATTATAGGTGTGAGCCATCGCACCCAGCGAGTTCAGTTTTAATACAAGAATCTAACAATAAAACCCATCCAGTTGTGTACCCACTTAATGAGAAATGATAGGATTTCCATAGATCAGATTTGAAATCTCCATTTCTTTCAAGAGATATAATCATGCAACTTTCAGAACTAGGCATATAAAGGTTTTAAAAATGTATTTACATTTTAGAAGACATTTCCATACTAGAGCAGCCAAGAAAAATACCTTTTATATCACACACCTAAATGGAAATATGCACGCAAATAAGCATATATATTCTGGAAGGGAGGACAAAGCAATTATGTTGTTATAAATCTGCAAAGATGCAAAACATCTACTAGCATATCGGAATTAAAAATAGCATCATCTTACCTGAAGTTCCTGGGTAGCAGATTGAATGAACAGAAAAACAAACAAAAGGTCTATTTACAATGATTATATTAAAGAGACTCAAAAACATTTTTCTTAGTGTTAACGAAACACTAATAGTGCTAATAATATACACTTTAGTAGGTGCACCTTAAAAAATAAGGTAAATATACACTAACTCCAAAGAGAAAAATCAACATTAAACATCAGAAATTCCAAACCCCTTGGCTGTGGATGATACGGCTGGGATAACAAATCATTACTACAATTTCTGAAATAGCTTTCAACCTTGGTTTCCTCAACACATTTTTTTTTGGAATGCCTAAATACGTATTTGTGAGAAAATTATTAAATGTCATGAGAACGCGAATGAGGGTCATCAACTGGAAATAAAGGCAGCATCACGTGAGCCTGTTCACAAAGCTAAGAGTGTGATTGTGATCTGTTTACTGCTGATGTGCAATTAATAGCAAAGACACAGCACCTTTTAAAGATTCTAAAAAAATTCAAGGGCAAACTCTTGTAGATATTATTCAATAAATTGAGACTAATGAAAAGAAATAGATATGACAAAATGGCTTGTCTTTCTTTTTTGACAACTGTGTTTTGATCTGAAAGCCAACTATGCCTAACTTTATCAGATGAGGATATACTAAAATTATTCACCAGCGATAGTACAAGGAGACTAACATTTAGAATGCCAGCTATGTACCTGACACTTTGCTAGACACTATACATAAGTTATTTTATTTAATCCTCATGTCAGCTCTACCGGCAAGTAGAGGTTGAGTACACCTTATCCAAAATGCTTAAGTCCAGAGGTTGTTTTGGATTTCAGATTTTTTTTTTTAAATTTTGAAATATTTGCATATACATAAGGGGACATCTTGGGGATAGGACCTAAGTCTAAGATTTGCTTATGTTTCACATACACCTTAAACACACAGCCTGAAGGTAATTTTATACAATTTTTTTTTTTTTTTTGAGACAGAGTCTTGTTCTGTCACCAGGCTGGAGTGCAGTGATCTCAGCTTACTGCAACCTCTGCTTCCTGGGTTCAAGCAATCCCCCTGCCTCAGTCTCCTGAGCAGCTGGGACTATATAGGTGTGCACCACCATGCTCGGCTAATTTTTTGTATTTTAGTAGAGATGGGGTTTCACCATGTTGGCCAGGATGATCTTGATTTCCTGACCTTGTGATGCACCTGCCTCAACCTCCCAAAGTGCTGGGATTATAGGCGTGAGCCACCGCACCTGCCAATTTTATACAATTTTAAAATAATTTTGTGCATGAAACAAAGTTTTGACTGCATTTTGACTATGACCTGTAACATGAGGTCAGGTGTGGAATCTTTTACTTGTGACATTGTGTTAGTGCTCAAAAAGTTTACAATTTTTGAGCTTTTTGGATTTTGAATTTTCAGATGAGAAATGCTCAACTCGTATTCTTATACTCACTTAACAGACAAAGAAACGGAAACCAAGAGGAACTGCATCCTTGCTTAAGGTCATATAGCTAAGGTCAGTGCCCCAGGTGAAGTTTCAACCTGGAGCTGCCGGACTCTGAAGTCCAGGTATCTTCACTCTTCTACTCAAGCATGTTAGAATCCCTTATTGTGATTTTACTGAGAAGTAGCAAAACATTCTCAAATGCCTTGTTTTATTTGGGTAAAATGTACACTCTCAGCCCTGTGAATTTCTTCTAAATTTTTTTTTTTTGACACAGGGTCTCACTCTGTTACCCAGTCTGGGTGCAGTGGTGCAAATCACGGCTCAATGCAGCCTTCCTGGGCTCAAGTGATCCTCCCACCTCAGCCTCCTGAGTAGCTGGGACCACAGGCATGTGCTATCATACCCGCTAACTTTTTATTTTTTGTAGAGACAGGGGCTTGCTACATTGCCCAGCCTGGTCTTAAATTCCTGGACACAAGTGATCCTCTAGCCTCAGCCTCCAAGAGTGCTGGGATTACAGGTGTGAGCCACTGTGCCCAGCCAGATTCTTATAAAATCTTAACAATGAAAGATAAAATAATCCCTGTGATTTTTAAGACAGACTAGAAAAAAGGTATAGTATTCCTTATTTCTTGTCCCTGAAAAACATTAGTATAATATTTATTTTTACGTAATGGGCATCCCAGATTTTCCCTTCCTTTATTTTGATAGAAACTAAATTTGTGAGCTGTTCTGAAACTGTGTCAGATTCCTTGGCTTTACATCATTCCTGCTAGGTCGTTTCCTATAACGTTTTTCTCTGGCTGAGACAGGAAATGATACCTCTCTTGCTTCGTCTGTTTTTCCCTCCCTTGTTTAACTTCCAGAGGGAAACAGGTGTCCAAGCTTGAATTTTAACCTAAGTGCAAACATTAGGTCAGTTGTCAGATCAGGAAGCTGATCTTTTGACATTAGCTGAACTCTGAGCTCTGGCTCAGAGACATTTTGAAAGTATTCAAAACAGTTGTATTTTGCTTTAGACTTTTAAAACAATCCTCACTGCATTCATGAATGCTTTATCTGTCATTTATTGTGGCTCACAGAAAGCTGCAATACTTTTGATTGGTTCTTAAGCAATTCAAGGAGAAAATTAAACTGGCAGTTATTTTAAGGATACATTATTGTAGTGCCTTTATACTGCTTGAGGACTGGGTCTGCTAAGCTTGTTTTCCAGGGAAAGAATTGGTGAAGAACACCTTTATTCTGAGGACATATTCTCTCCTGCTGGGGCAGACATCCAGGGTCATCAGTGGGCCAGGAAGGACACAAGCAGAGGGCTCTTTGGCTTCAACTATACATAAGTGGGTTGGTCAGTAATAAAATCCATTTAGGGAAGGTAAGTAGCTACCTGAAGCATCATTTGCCACAAACCTGTAGTTAAGCAAGGAGGTGCCTACCTACTGCAGGACATCGTACACTTGGGATCTGGGCCTGCCTCCTCAATTGTAAGATTAGCAGAGAGCCCTTTGGGAAATCTGGTGCAGTTAAACATGAGCTGACAACACCATTGTCAAAGGCTACGACCCAGGCACCTTTACATAATCCAATCTCACTTAAGTGAACTGAGTTTTGATCCCATAGGCAAAAGACCGCCTCTTAGGTGAAACATGCCTCTGAGCCACTGAAATGAAGGTGAGTGGCAGGTGATGCTCCTCCTCTCAATACCTGTTTTCAAAAACACGATTCATAGCTGAAAGTGTCTTACTGCCATGATTATCATCCAAAATAAACAAATCTGCATTTGCCCACTGAGATTTGAATTCAGCTGCTCCACTGTCTAGAACACCAGCCACCGACCTAAGCAGAGCAAAGAGCTCTCGTGTGGATTGTATTTTGTTTCCAGTTCTAAAGATTTCATCAAGCACAAAAATGTTGGATCCCTCAGGCTGTGGTCTCCTGTTGTAGCAGGCAAGCTTTGAAGGAGTTGAATTAGAGAAACTTCACATTAGAAATGATTAAATGCTTAGCATATTTTACCCAGGTACCAGTGAACGGGCTCAGAACTGAAATGTTTTTGTGATTTTTTTTTTTAAGTCCAGCTTGGGACTACACACACACACACACACACACACACACACACACACACACACACACATACAGTCTGTGTGGTCATTGAAACTCTGGTCTTTGCCATTTAGAAATAACTTGGCAGCTTTTGCCGTGGGCTCAGACAGGAAGGGTGTGGTAACTTTTGCCAAAGTTTAGCTGCTGTACTTTGAATAAGTTGATTCAAAATAAAGTTTACAACTTTCCGATTAAAGATCTTGTTACAAAAACTCATTATTTAGCAGGTAAAAAGAACCGTTTCATTAGCCAAGGAAAGGGTGCAGGGATTATTTTGATAGAGACTACACCGTACCTCTCCATCCTCCAGCTCCACATCTAGGAAGTCGAAGTCTCTGAAGACTCTAAACTGCTGTTCACTGTTTGTGTCATCCATGTTCTCCTGCTCTCGGGCGCCGTCCTCAGAAGAAACCAAGCTTGTCTGGTGCTCGAGTAGATCCAGATCCCCACACGATGAAAAAATCACCTGCAAATCAAGAGACCTCTCCTGAGAAACTGTTCTCCCTTTGGTTGTTTGTGCTATGAAAAACTGTAATTGGCTTTTCATAGCACTGTATTTCCAGTACACACCTAATTCCTTCAGTGGGTATTTTTAGAATGTTCTTTTATTATTTATGTTGGACAGGTGCCTTCAGATTAAACTCATGGCAAAGATGCAAATTCATGCACCAGGAAAACGTTCAAGAATCACATTGGTGCTTCCTAATGGATGAAGACTGTATACTCTGTGTGTGTGTGTGTGTGTGTGTGCATGCGCACATGTGTGTGTGTGTTTGTGTGTAAACTGGAGCAGTCAGGAAAATGTTCCACTGTTTCTAATCTGATTAGGGTTAGAAATTATACACATTTACACACATACATCAAATACATACAATATTTTAGGACTGATACCAAGATATGTTATTGTAGAATAAACTGCGGGAACAAAGGATTTAACCCTTTTAGAGATAAACCAGAACTGGTAATGAATAAAAACAGAAGCCAAAAAGTACAATACTTGTTCACAGAAGAGTAGGTGAGTAACCAGGCCCATAATTTATACTTAAATTCCTCTTCTGTAGATTCAAACAAAATAAAGCATTTTTTTAACTACTAAAATCTTTAGTATGTTGATGTTTTAAAATTAACTTCTATGTTTAGGTTCTCTTCACTGAGCCATTTTGGTTTAACTTGGCAGAAATAATAAACTGTAAATGAGAGTAAATGTTTTGCTATCCAGCCTCTACTGAACATAGATTGATATTAAAGAAAATTAATAATATTCTTTGTATAGCCATTATAATGTCTTAGTTATTCTTGAAAAGTAGGCAAATCATTTATAAGAATTTAAATACAATAAACATCTCTCAAAAGTAAAAAGGGTGAATGGATTTCAAACATACTTTTTTCCCCTGGTGTTTAAGAATAGTGTATGATGAAAAAAAAAAAAAAAAAAAAGAATAGTGTATGATGTATACGACGGCCTCTCATAACAGCCCCCAACACAGTTTACACAGGGATTGCAAATGAGTATGTAAGATAAAGAGCCCTGAGGACTAGTCAACTAGAGAGACAAGACGTGAGATTTCTGATTTCCTTGGCTGAAGGCAGTGTTTCCTAGTTAGTGCTGCTTCTCTTATTTGGAATGTACTCCAGGTAAATATTTCTAGCTGAAAAGGCCTTAGCACAGGGCAGAAGTATGAGTCTGGAGGAGAAAGTGTCAACCACAATGGCAATAAAAGTAGGCCTCGTTGGCGGTGCTGCATTGCAGGGACGAAACATACTGTGTCTCTTCGTTGCGGGCTTGGAGGCTCTATCTGCTTCTGCCACTGTCCCCTCTGTCCTAAAGACCGTCACAAGAGCAGCAGAAAACCCACTGATCAATAACACTGAAAAGGTGACTTAAATGGAGGCCCAGCTTAGCTGATGGCTGGCTGGGGTGCTTTCCCAGATGATAAGAAATATCACTTTGCACTTTAGCAAGTATTTATGAGCTTCTAATATTTCATCTGCTCATGAACTATGTTAGTAGATCCATTCTGAAATTTTAGAAATAGCTTCACAGAGAAATTTGTTTGCTAATTCTTTAGTTGAAAAATATTTAGTTTGCTATTTCTTTTTCATAAATAATAAATATGCTGTGATATAGGTGAAACAAAAATACTTGGTAAAACCAGCAGGCACTTCTACTGTTTTTGTTGTAATATAATCCCATACATAATTCAAATTTTTCTAAATTTTATAAAAGCTTCCAAAGTATACTTATAACATTTCAATCGTCCATTCATTCAAAAGCTTGATGGCAGAATTTTTGTTTTAATTTTTTTACTGTAACATCAGTGGAAGTTTGTATGCAAAAAAACATATTATTTTCATCTTTATTGTCTGTGGTTAAGATAAGGACATCAGAGTAAGAAGTGTGTGTACAGAGAGTAAAATTATATCCAAGAGGTATGAGCATATCTGACATACATGGTGGTCAGCAGAGATGATCATTTATATTGTAACAAAGTCTGGGCATATTTACAAAAAAAATCTAGGAAATTTAAAAAATGAAAAGAAACAGTATTCACAGACAAATGAGGAAACAGCCAACAAGATCTTTCATTGTTTCTGAACTCAGTGTGATTAAAAATCATGGTGTGGGGAGAAATAGTCAAGCGGCTTGCTCAAGATGGTGGCTATCATATTTGTCATTCACAGTTGAATTCTCTAAATTATATGACCAAAGGCAAAAACAGACCGATAAAAAAGGAGATATGACACCAAAGGAACTACGATACATGACAGAACTTACTGATGGATTTTTGCTCAATCCTACTTCTTGGCCACACAGAGAAAGGACATGGACCAACTTCTCTTTTGTTCTCTTCTGGAAAAGAAACACAAGGCAGGTCTCATTATGGGGTTCTGTGAGCATGTCGACGAATTTTCTAGCCACTAGCCACACAGGGCAACAGCACTTGACATACGGACAGTGAGAACTGAGATGTAAAATACACAAAGGGATGAAAAAAGAACATAAATAGCAATTAAAAATTGTAAAGTATTGAAAACATGTTGAAATAATGTTTTAAATATATAAGGTTAGGTAACATTTATTATTAAAATTAATTTTGTCTGTTTCTTTTTCCTTTTTTTAAAGGTGACTATTGGACAATGTAAAATGAAGCTCACATTATGTTTCTGCTGGACAGTGGTGATCTAAATTATCCCAAGGGGTGTATATGTGTGTATGTGAAAATCAATCCCTAGGTTCTTCAAGGAAATCTATCACTTCCTTTGATAATCTTTTCTTACATGTTATAACTTTCAGCATTAGCAAGGCTTTCCTTACACTTAAATTAACTCTATTAAGTTACAGCACCAGTCTCTCTTTCTCAGATAGAAGAATACTTTCTGTAGAATGAAAAAATTCATTTATTTTAAGCCATATTAAATCTTTCTTAGTTTCTTCTTCCGAAAGTTAAACAGATTCAGTTCCTTTTCTTCATAAACCTATTTTCCAGCCCTATAAGCATGTGATTCTTCTATAAACCATTACATTTTCTAGTGACAGATAACCCAGGTCTCAGAATGATGGGTGAGTTGATAATTTTTAAAGCAATCTTCCTAATCTCTTTAAAATGATTTTTCCCCCTATAATCTGATTTAAAGTTTGTTATTTGGAAACTGCTAGGAGGCCAATGCCACTCTTAGATTTTTCTTCTTAACGGAACGCTATTCACTGTATCCTTCTTTCCAAATTATAGAGGGGACAGACACTCAATATGGTGTCTGCTCAAGGTCAGAGACAGGAGGACTTTGAGGTTGAGGGATGGCAGAAGACTCGCTAAACGATTTTCCTGAATCTTAGTGGTCATTTTACAATCCTGGGAAGGAGTCAATGTAGAGGGACATGGAATTGGCTGTATATTTTTCTTCTCTCTTCCAACAAAGTTTTCAGCTGAACACACACTGAGAGCCTGCTCTGTTGCAGCCGGCACTAACCTTTGAGAGAGAAGGTAAGTCCTGTGGGGCACCCACTTTGTCCTTCCCAGCACCCACTTCACCTTCTTCTGGTAACACTGTCCCTCTTTTTATCTTGGAAGGGCTCCATTCCCACTGATTGGGGCTATGTCTCCCTCATACCCTGCAAGAACTCTTTTCTAGAATTGCTATGGATGTCAAAGGGGAAAGGCCTCTGTCACTCTGAAATCATCAGAGCCAAAGATCCTGTAAATCTAGAGTTGCCAGAGGTCATCTGGGCCTCTCATAGAAAAAGCCCGCCTGAGAATGAAGTCAACAGAGGGGAAAACAAGGGGCAAGATGTTGGGAAGGGAAGGTGGGGACAGTGAGAAGTAAACAGTCTAAGAATCCGGTTTCTGACACTTGTGTACTAGGAGCCAACTGTGCTTGAAGCCAAGATGGGTAAGCTGGCAAGTTCCTTTACCACATAAGGTAGTTTTTCAATGGATTTGTCACAAGTCAACAAAGGCTCCTGAATAATGCAGAAGTGTTACTTGACAGGAAGCCCAATGGCATCTCTGCTATGACGCAGTCACCACAGAGTGAATACAATCCTATGCTGTGATGACAGAGAATCTGGCAGCAGTACCCCCGCCCCACCATCTGCATGGCTTAGCCTGTGCGTGGACACTATGGCTGAGGTGCCTGCTTCGTGGACAGCAGCCAGGGTGGTCCTTGGGTGTGCAGCCCTATCAACCCTTTGGGTGTCCAAGTGCTATAGAATTGGTTGGGTGAACAAAGGATGTGTTGTTTGGACTTATTTAGGACAGTGGCAGAGGGACAGAATTTCTTTAAATGTCTGAAGGGCTGCCATGTGAAAGAGAGACCAGATTTTTATTTTATTTTCTAGACCTTAAGAGAACTAGAACCAGTGGCTTGAAGCAACAAACAGTCAGACTTCAACTCAAGGTAATGAACTGTTCAAAGGGAAAATGGGTTCCTTGGAATGTCACAAGACCCCATCCCTGGAAGTGTGGAGACCTATATGGGCAACCTTGGGATGGTGAAAGGGGGATTCCCTTGTGACACAGCCATCGGGATTCAATAGCTCTGTAAACTCCCTCCCAGGCCTGTGGGTCTAGGATTGCATACCTGAGAATACTGGGGCCTTTTCCAGCTCACAGGAACAAGGACATTGGAGTTGGAGCCTGAAGAAGTGGAAGACGTGCTCCGGGTGACGGCCATGGCCCTGGGCTTCCCATCACGCCCAGAAGAATTCTGCAGCTCATCATACCGCCTCCCTATGATTGGAGTCTTGAGAATAAAGAAGACAAAAGCACATTCTTCTGTCTCAATAGTTCTGTGACATATGAAACCCCTCTCCCCAGAAGCAACCAAGAATGGCTTATTTAATTAAGAATAAGATTAGAGAAATTCAGTGTTACAAATGGGCTCATTTTCTCAATACTCAGTATACATTATGAATCATTTTGCATCTTTAACATTTTCTCCCCTCTTCAGCAGCAGAAAAATGCAACTGCTTGTTCTTTAATATGCTTTAGAAACCGCTGATAAAGAGAAGCTAAATGTGCAGGAAACGAATCAGTTTTCGATTGTTTAAACTTGAAAACATTTCTTATAGTTAGAACAAGAGACCAAAATTCCTTTCCTTCTCCCAACTTTTAATCATCAATCTTTATATACTCTCAATTATTTAAAGATGTATTTAACTTATTTATATCTTTTCAATTATTCAAATGACTGAGGTCAGGGCCAGGTACCCGGGCAGCACTTGAGAAATCTCACTTCCCGAGAGCTCTAGAGTGGGGTGGCTGCGTGAGCAGCACTTAGCAAACTTTAGCTCTGAGCCAGTCTCCTTCGCAGACACCAGGCTCATGGGCCTGACCTTGGCAGTGGCAGAAACTGTCAATTTCATGCCTGGCTCTTGAGACCCATCATTCTGCAGCAGTTTTGGGTCTCCAGGGCATGCTGCTAACTGGCTGCATGTTTTTTTGTATCTCTTTGGGACACAATAAACTCAAATAGCAGGGTAAAAATAGCTTTTCCCCCTAGCCATGTTAAAGAAAATGTGAAATAGGCAAGGATCAAATTGAAACCTTAATGTTATTTACATATTAAATATAGATGCAGGTGTCACAATGGCAGCCAGTAGTATCTCATCCTGAAAACTGGAATGATGAAAGGTCAGTGAGGACCATTGTATAAAAAACAAACTTGAATATGGCCTACATAATAGTGCAAGTAAGTTCCATATGAGCAAACCAGGTTTATTTCTTTACTGTTCTCTTAAAAATATACTTTAAGTTCTGGGATACACGTGCAGAACGTGCAGGTTTGTTCCATAGATATACATGTGCCATGGTGGCTTGCTGCACCCGTCACATCTACATTAGGTATTTCTCCTAATGCTCTCCCTCTGCTTGCCCCGCACTTCCGGACGGGCCCTGGTGTGTGATGGTCCCCTCCCTGTGTCCATGTGTTCTCATTTTTCAGCTCCCACTTATGAGTAAGAACACGCAGTGTTTGACACTAGGTTTATTTCTTAGTGAATTTATTCATTCAGCAGTGTTTGGAAATATTTATTAGTGATCTGTTATGCACCAGATGTTGTACCAGGCCCTGGTCATAAACATGAACAGAGTGCAGTTTCTGCTTTGGAGGTTTGTAAGTCATGGAGTAAGAGATGTGAAAGCAAAGTTATTTTACACCTTATGCCTCAATACAGGCCTCCCAAATGTTTGTTCGTAGACTGCCTGGTAAACAGGACCACTTCCTGTCCTTTCTTTTCTTCCTGACTCCTTAGCTTGGGTCCCTAGTCTCTTCCTCCTCCCTCTCCCTCTCCTGCCCTCTTCAAGACAAGAATTTAGTTTTACTTGTTTAAAAAATAGTGTGGGTTGGGGAAGCAACTGTAAAGTGAAGTCTGTATTCCTGTAAATTTTGGTGATTGCTGACCTGGCTGTCATTCAGGGAGAAACATTGTGTATATAAAGACATGACCATTGTAAGATAAAGAATGAGCGAACGTCATGGTTTAAAATGCTTACGATCATTCCATTTTTAAATACCTCTTTTAAAAATCATTTTTAAAAAGAGGTTATGTAAACCGAGGCCAGTTTCTATTTTTAAAAGCTGCCAACTGAGAGTCCCAGTGAATATGACACTCAATGGGTTCTTAAAAAAGCGGAACCTAATTTAGTCCTTAGAAATCTTCACTTGAAATAACTGTCGAATTAGTCTTCTTTTTTCTAGGCAACTACTTTTGACCTTTGCTACTACAAATTCATGCTAAGGTTCACAGAAACAGTTAACATAGCTAAGTACCTCTGAAATATCGAAGTGGAAGTCCAGGGTCTTCCCAGGTAATTCCTTGGAAGCACTAGTCCACACTCGATGTATTTCTATTTTTGAGAGGTCACTGTGCTGGTACGAAGGTAAAACGAGGCTGGCTGACCGAGACACTACCAGCTTCAAGATATTCAGAGCTTCTCTCCAGTGAACACTCTGCAGGAAATAAAACATTCAAGGGTTAAAAATAATTTCATTTTTTTAAAGCTAATGTAAGTCAGAATGACCAGTGAGAAGCTAGTGATCAGTCAGAATTCACTGACTTAAAACAGTGCAGGAGGCTCCATGATAAATAAAAGGCAAACGACATAAAAAGGCAATGTATATATAAAAAGAGGTACATTTAGGAAACACGCAAATAAAAAAAGACCAATTTTGTCCATTTCAACTAAATTAAATTCTTACTAATGAGGTACCATTATTGGTAATGAGGCACCTCCTTCATTTGGAAAAAAAAAGCTCCCAGTGCATTTTATGCCACTGACTGGTCAATTCATTCTTTCTGAAAGTTCTCCCCACGTCTGGTTTCCAGTCTTCTTGGTCCTTCTCCTAGTTCTCTGGCTCCTCCTGCTCCATTTGCTTCCTGGGTGCCTGGATCTCTGCCTTCAGCCCTATTCTCACTTCTTGTCTTCCTCATTACTTAACTCAAGAATCTGGAAGCCCTTCTTAACCCTTTCTTTCCCTCCCTCCTGGTAATCTGTTCCCTCCTCTGCATTCCTGCTGGCATTGGCTCAGTGGCACCCTCTGAGGCCTTGCCTGGACTATCTCAATGGCCCCTTCCTGGTGTCCTGGCTTGCAGCCCTTAAGAGCATCAGATCCAGCTACAGTGATCTTCCTAGAACTCTTCACGTCAAGCCACTTCCCTGACTCAGCTCCTTCACAGGCTCCCTCTGGTGGACAGGGTGGAGTCCACACTCTTTGAGCATGGCCTGCAGGGGTCATCTCCCCTAGGCTGCTGCTAGAGTTCCCCAAATTTGGCAAGCTCTCCAGCCTCTGTGCCTTTACTCATGCTATGCCCTCATCCTCGAATACCTTTCACCTCCTTATTGGCATGTCAAATTCCTACTCTGCATTTAAGACTCAGCTTTACCATTTCTCTGACAACCTCCGATCAGAGTGGCTGCTGCTCCCATAAAAATATTAGAAACATAGATAAATGAACTTCATAAAAGTTATTATTATTGCCTGGACTTTGCAGCCAAAGCACATGAAATAAAACATCTATTAGATTCTGCGCAAGGGAGGCCATGGTTTAAATGTGAAATAAGCTACTATTTGAGGTAAGATACAAAACGCCAGAGGTGGCCAACAGGCCTAAGACAAAATGGACAGACTAATAAACAACAACATGGGGCACACATTCGTAGAAAGATGTGAACTGACCACCTGTCTCCTGTGAGTGAAGTGAGAAACTATTAACTGACTGCCTACCCTATGTGTGGGGCAAGTACTATGGAGCAATGTCACTTGCAAAATGCTTGGAAGTCACTTTTAGCATTAATTAATTTCTGTAAATAATTTGATTGGTGAAGTAAAGATGGAAAGGAATATCTAAAATTTATACTGTATGTCTTCATCAATGAGCTTAACCAGAGAGAACCAAGCATTTGCCCTTGAATCCTAAATTTACCAAGTACACTCCAGAGAAAAAATAGAGGGAGAAATAAAATGTAAAGAAAAAGATGTCTCTACTCTTGAGCTAGGCGCTCTCCACTTAACCCCATGGTGGCCCTGCACTACTCCCATGGCCCGGAGCCTCCCTGCATTAGTCTGTGGTCATGTGTTTTATGTTTTAGATTAACTTCCAGGCTTTAGAAATTTGCCCTGGTGTGTCTGATCTATCTTCCTATTTATATTCATATCTTCCTATCTATCATTCTGTTGCCCAGGCTGGAGTGCAGTGGTGTGATCATAGTTCACTATAACTTCAACCTCCTGGGCTCAAGGGAAACTCTCTCAGGCTCCTAAGTAGCTGGGACTGCAGGTGTACATTGCCACACCTTGCTAATATTTTTATTTTTTATTTCTGTAGAGATCGGGTGTCACTTTGTTGCCCAGGCTGGCCTTGAACTCCTGGCCTCAAGTGATCCTCTTGCCTCAGCCTCCCAAAGTGCTGGGATTTATTAAGTTGACTCTCTGTGCCTGGTGTTGATATTTATTTTTATTTTCATTAAAAAAATTTTGTTTCTGGTCTTCTCTGAGTACAGCTTTAAAGAACCAATCTGTAGGTGTTTGGAGATGTCTACCATGAACCCCTTTGCTTTGTACTCTTCATCAATTATTCACATTTTGTCATCTTGTTTTATTTATCCCCTCAAATAAACATTTTTTTGTTTGTAGGAGTATTTTCAAGTACATTTACGCAAGTTTCTTAACCACCCTTCAACTCTAAAGTGACAATTTTAGCCTCTGAATAACCTTTCACATGTTGAGACACCGGGCCTCGAACCTGGCACACGTGAACGTTCCTACAGTTCCTTGTACCCTCTCCTCTGAAACAAGATGTTAAAAACAAGATTCTGCCTCTGCCCTCCAAGTCAGGTATGTGCTTTCAATACCCGGCCTGTAGCCCCAAGAGGCAGAAATGTGTCTTTTGAAGGCACTGGAATGTGCCAGGGTCTTGTCCTCTCATTCTCTTCGGAATCCTACTCAGGGTGTGGTCAACTCCCACTCTCAACTGCCCTGGCTGTGTCATGGATGTCAAGGAATGAATGAGTGGCCTGGCACCCAGACAGTTTTGTAGCCAAGCTACAGTGAAAGCCTCTGTCTTTATGGAATGACTAGTTGCTTAGTGAAGTTATCCAAGTACTCACCTGCACATATTTTTCAATTGTCTTCAGAACTTCCACATTAAACTGTTTGACAGGAATGACAGAAAGGTCCATGTAACTGAGCAGACTGTAGATCACCTGGAGCAGGGGCTGCTGCACACTAGGGAGGCCCTTCTCCAGCAGCTGTGGGGGCAAAGTGCAGCTGGAGTCAGTCACATGCCAGATCTTCATACGGAAGGACTCGCGTTTTCCAACACATTTAGAATGCACATTTCCTTTGTAATTCTTATTTTTTAGGGGATGGGGTCTTGTCATGTTGCCCAGGTTAGTCCCAAACTCCTGGCCTCAAGAGATCCTCCTGCCTCAGCTGCCAGGTATCTGGGATTCTAGGCAAGAGCCACCACGCCTAGCTTGACTGCACATTTCTTTAGAAGGGGAAATAAAATACTAACTATAAAGAAATGAAGATATTATCAAAATAGACTATATCATGTGTGGAGGTATGAATATGTAAGTATAAAATTCACATGATGAAATATTAAAAACACCTCAAAAAGAAAGCATCAAACACCAATGATCAAAAATTACAAATTCGAACAAAAGATACAACCTGTCCATTATCAAATTGGCAAAGATTAGAAGTTGACAGTATTCAGTATTGATGGGGAGATAAAGAAATGGGTATTCTTACACATCAGTAGGAATGTAAATTGGATAATTTGGCAAATGAGATCAAGAGCAAGGAAGAAGATCCATAATCTTTTGACATAGTAATTATACTTTAAGGAATGTTTCTCAAACCAGAGATAGAGGCTTTATGAGATTTTATCATGGCATTATTTATAATGGCAAAAATCATACACAAAACAAGAAAGCTTTGTAAGCAATTCAAATATCAAACACTAGGGAAATGGATGTACAGGTTAATGGCAACCTGTATAATGAAACATCATGCAGTTAACAGAATGACATTTTTAAAGACAGTGGAGGATATCAGATAATATTGAGTGGGAAATGAAGGATACATAATTGTCTGTTTAATAGATGATGCCAATATTGACATGAATGTGTATGTTATACAGAAATAACATTGGAAAGATATTTTAAAATGTTAATATTATTTCTCTATAATTTTGGGTGATTTTTCTTTTCTTTTAAAAATTTTTCCTGCATCTTCCAAATTTTCTGTTATGAACATATACTGCTTTTATGATCATTAAAAAAATCAGTGATATTGTCCAAAAGGAAGGCAAAATAAGGAAAAAATATATGTGACGGACATCATGATAAACATTTACTGTTTAAAATAAAAAGTTGATAGAGATGATCCAAGTAAATGATGAAATTCCACAGTATTTACAGAGTGGTTAAAACATGAGGGAACATCTGGGTGTGGTGGCTCACACCTCTAATCCCTGCACACTGGAAGGCTGAGGTGGGTAGATCACCCGAGGTCAGGAGTTTGAAACCAGCCTAGCCAACATGGTGAAACCCAATCTCTACTAAAAATAAAAAAATTAGCTGGGCACGGTGGCCGATGCCTGTAATCTCAGCTACTCAGGAGGCTGAGGCAGGAGAATCATGTGAACCAAGGAAGCGGAAGTTGCAGTGAGCCATGGTCACGTCACTGCACTCCAGCCTAAGGGTTAAGAGAGAGACTTTGTCTCAAAACAAAACAAAAAACATGAGGAAATTATTATGTAAATCTATAATGTGGTGAAATGAATATCTTTACTAGAAAGAAAATACCTAAAATAATTCAAAATTTTTAACAAAAAGTATTAAACTAAAAAATGAATACATGGAATGATAAAATTTAGTGAGGATACAGGAAAACAGGAATATTTATACATTGTTTATAGTATTACAAATTGGGGGGTCTTTATGAAGACCAACCTCTCGAATATGTTAAAGAACTAAATAACATACCCGCATACCCACATACCCACGCCACGGGACTGAATAATTCGACCTCAGGAAATGTAGAGTCATTTGATATTATGTGATAAAATGATTTTGATAACATCTATTATTATTTGATCAAATTTCAAGTATCATTTGATAAAGGTCTACATAACAGGACCATTGGCAATGGAAAAAATTATGAACATTAGCAACAAAAGGGAGATGATTAAGCAAACTGTGTTGTCTTCAAGGTTCACCCATGTGGAAGCATGCATCAGAATTCCTTTCTGAAGGCCAGGCGCGGTGGCTCAAGCCTGTAATCCCAGCACTTTGGGAGGCCGAGGCAGGTGGATCACGAGGTCAAGAGATCGAGACCATACTGGTCAACATGGTGAAACCCTGTCTCTACTAAGAATACAAAAATTAGCTGGGCATGGTGGTGCACACCTGTAGTCTCAGCTACTCAGGAGGCTGAGACAGGAGAATTGCTTGAACCCGGGAGGCGGAGGTTGTGGTGAGCAGAGATCATACCATTGCACTCCAGCCTGGGCAACAAGAATGAAACTCTGTCTCAAAAATAAATAAATAAATAAATAAATAAATAAATAAAAGGTGAGAATAAAGTTTATTTCAGAATGTATGCTTTGATAATTAGATCAGAGCAAACAATGATTAAACGTTATCAAGCCACACAGTAACTCCTTAAATAAGATTTGGATACCTAGAGTAATTAAGATAAAATTTTCTGATCTCTGCCATGTGGTAACAGGTATTACCATAATAAATAGAAGGAGTTTAAGCTTTGGAGGCAGCAATATCTAGGTTTAAAGGCTGACTCTGCTGCTTTAAACTTGTGGAAAATTATTTAACCTAGCTGAGCCTTGGAGCTGTATGATAGTAACTGTATCACTGTGCTCTTGTGAGGATTTAAAATGATTCCATTAGCATGTATTATAATATTGAATAGGCATATAATATATGGAAGAGTATATTGAGTATATTATCAATTCTATGCACATAATTTACCCATGGAAGCTATAATAAGTTTTATCCTTCATTTCAAAGCTTACCTCTGGCTGGGAATGGTGGCCCACGCCTGAAATCCTAGCACTTTGGAAGGCCAAGACAGGAGGACTGCTTGAGCCCAGGAGTTGAGATCAGGGGCAGCATAATGAGACCCTGTCTCAAAAATAAATAAATAAATAAAAAGCTTACCTCTGCCAGGTAGGTAACCATATTCAAGGTAATGTCAGCATATGCTTCATGAAGGTATCGACAGACCACATTAACCCACGTGGCACAGTCCCTTGTGTAGCTGTGTGTTTTATAAAGAGTCATGACATGTGCAAGATTTGAAAGTTTGGGGTTCTTCTCTTCTAAACAAACCTTTTAAAATAAGAAAATCAATTAGGAATAAAACAGCCGAATGAACAAGAAGAAATGTTAGCAATTTTACTATAAGCTCTGGCAGTCTGGAAAGTAGAGTGATACACTTTTTTGGTAATTATAGGAAGTACTTAGCTTAGTTAATACAATTTTCACAAATTTTTCCACCTGCATTCTCAAGAATGAAAGCAAGGAAGACAATATGCATCAGCCACCCCATATGTCCATTACTGTTATATTAGTTATTATTTCCAGTTATTGAGAAAATCACTGCCTTCTCTGGGCCTGGTAATCTGTCTGACACTGGGGCTCCCTAAAGGCCTCTACGGATCTGCCTGAGTGCAGAGCTGTAACTCATACCTGAGCAATCCTTTCAGCTATGTCCTTACAGAACTGATTGGGATTTTCAAAATGTTGAATCAGCTGAGGCAGGAGACACAAGACATTCAGTGGAAACCCTGGATTAGAGAAAATACAATGGAGATAGCTGAATATAGTATATTTTAGCTGTTAACAGTGGGAAGGCATGTTACAGATTTTTATACTGAGGTGATGCAAAAGCAGTCTTTTAAATCAGCCGAAAGGTGATCTAACACAATATCAATGAAAAATGCACAACCACAATGGCACCAGTTACAACAAACAGACACTGAAGTAGATCTGCGATTTTAAGACGCAGTGATTATCTTGCACTGGACTTTTGTTAATAAGGATGGCTGGCCCAGATTTTATTGGCACAGACTGAACTGAGCTGAAGTATGCTTTGAAATTTTTATCAAAAACCATATTTTAAGAAAAACTGGAGTGAGAGGACGTAGGCCAACCAATTTAAGTCTTAGTCACGTAATTGAAAAGACTCTTTAAAATGATAAGAAATGATTTAATCCCTCTGTGTTAAGTTCTAACTTCATGAAATGAATTCTGGGCCACATGCCATGGCATTAAAATCTGGCTTGTTGATTTGGGTTAATTCAAAACAAAAGGAAACCAAGAGAATTTTCAAGAACAGAAAAGCAAAGAAAAAATATTTAGGAGTTAAGAAAAAATGTTTTTGTTTTTTTTTCTATACAAGAGCAATGAATAAACTAATCGTACTTGCAGTTTGATCTGGAAAGCATAAAGAAACCACCAATATCATATAAATAATTTTGGCCCCTTTTATGCTATTGTCTTAAAAATATTTTCTGTAATATAGGTAATTGAGATGTACATTATATAGAATTTTAAAAGAAAAAACAAACTACTCCCAAGGAACCTTTTTAAAGCAGAATCGTTAAAAGCAGCAAGTTCATATTATCTTATTGTACCAAATGATGAATACAACCACCACCAGAATTGGGATAGGGTGAACGAGGCTGGCTTTACCAATAGCATGGGATGCATCCACCATGGATATTTTGGACACTGGCGTCAGCAGACTGAAGAGCTGCAGGGTCAGGTCTGTGGTGGTGACGGATGTGAATCCTTTCAGCAGCAGCTGCTGCAGGCCTGAGAAGTCAGCCCACTTGAGCTGCGCCTGGAGTTTCTCAAGCTTTTCTCGGTGCTCAGCCTTATCGAGCGGCATATGTGCCAGTAGTCTGCTTAACAGCCTTAAGGCCATTAAGTATTCAAACTCAAAATCAGACTCCATCAAGGCTACTGTGACCCAGAAGATGGTGGCCAGAAGGTTGGTGGGATGGTTTATGTGGGATGGGTCCGTGAGACTGTCCTTTAAGGAGGATGAGCTTCTGGTTTTTGAGGAGAGGCCTTGTTGGGTACAAGCCTGAATTCTGTCCAGTGTGGCACTTCGAGGTGGGTCGGAGGATCGGTCGATGACACCAAACTTCTTGGGCACAGAAAAGCTTCGTTGATGCCGGCTCCGTTCTGCAGTCGTGGTGTTGCCGCTGGTGGTCCCAGGGTTCACGTTTAGCTGTCCTGTGCTCTTTCTGCTTGCTGTGAGTTTACTGCTGGAGCTTAAATCTGGTGAGGAAGAGCTGGGTATAAAAATAAATAAGTTTAATAGGATGCTAACACGTGAAAAGCTAGTCCTTTTACGTCCACTGAGAAACACTACAGGAGGGAAATCATTCTTTAGAAATGCCACTTTCTATTAATTTATTTTTCCTTATCCTTAAAGCTATAAAAAACAAAACAAGAAAAACCCTCACCAACAAACAAAAAGCCCAATACTGACTGCTACTTAATGAAAATGTAAAGAAATAATTGGCCTTAAAGTTTACTGATATTTCATTTATTTTTGGCTTGACTTTGGGTAGGAATAATTATGACAAAATGTACCTGATAGGTATAAGCTTTGATATTCTGTTAATTGACTGCTAAGGAGAACAGAAATGGAAATTATGCTGTATCTAGAAAGAAGTCAGTAAATGTTCATGTCAAATAAAATATTTTGTACTTACAAAAATTCATGAAAAATGATTTCTAAGTCCATGATGAAAGGGTTGACTTAGAAATCATTTTTCATGAATGATTCAACATTGAGTCAACATTCTTGCTATATTTTTACTGATTTAGATAAATCTTTATATTCATAAAGATAAATATGTGTGATGTTTGTAATCACACTAAAATTATCTATCCACAAGAAATGCTCAACTTAAAAATGAAACAAGGCCCAATGGGATACAAGATAACATTACTGACTCAATTTCAAGCAAGATGAGCTCAGTTACACAAACAGAATATAGAGTCATGAATAATTTGAAATGAGTTATTAAACACTGATAGGAGCAAAAAAAAATACTAAGGTAGGAATTTCTTCAAGTGAAGTCAACATTTTTTCCAATTGTTTTTATGGCAACAGTTCAGAGGAGCTTTGTATATATTCATTTAAAAATAATGTTTAGTTTTAATTTCTCTTTACCAATGTAATAAATAGAATATTACATAAAATTTGAAAAAAGACAAAAAATGAAATGAAAAATTATTAATATTTGTATCATTTAGAGCTAACACGTGCTATCTTACCAATGTTTTAAAATACTTATATAATATGTGTGTGTGTGTGTGTGTGCGTATTTGAACTTCTTTTTTACCTTAAGAAATTATTACACATAATTTTTCAGGTCATAAATACACTTCAAAAACTAGATTTGTTCTTTGTACTTTGCCCAAAGTCCAGCATCTCCCAAATATTCCAGTACAGTACACTTGATGTCAAAATGTCATTAAGCTGATTCTCACCGGGACAATACAGTTAGGAGGTCACTGTTCTTCAAGCAGTCAGATAAGTTATCCACAGCCGCCTCCAAGGTAAGGAGTGCTTCCATTACATAACCCTGCCAAACATGTGAAGATAGCATTGTGTATTGTTTGTAACCACTGTTAACTTCCAGAAGATAAATTTAATTCATGCAAACTTTATTCCAATAATGTTATTGCTGCTTTAATTTATGAAGTCTAAAATAAGCTTTAAGGGCCACTTAGGAAATTCCGATGGCTTAGGAGTTAGTAGATAATCATAAAAATTTATTTTCCTAGGTCTAAGAGCCTCAACAGATCACTTTCATTTGAAATCTAACAGTGAGGGGCAGGCATGACCCTCTGCTAAGGGGAGGGTGGGCATTTGAAATAGAATGGCAATGTCTGAAAGCCACAGGTCAAGAGGTGAGGTAAGGGAAGAGCTGCCTCAGTGGTGTTTTAAACAGCACCTCTGATGGCTGAAAGAAGGATGCAGGTAGAGTCTGTAGGTGTGTAGGCTTCCTTAGATGCAGGAATATTTCTTTTCTCCTTTTTTTTGAGATGGAGTCTCACTTCCATTGCCCAGGCTAGAGTGCCATGGCACAATATTGGCTCACTGCAACCTGTGCCTCCTGGGTTCAAGTGATTCTCCTGCCTCAGCCTCCTGAGCAGCTTGGTCTATAAGTGTGTGCCACCACGCCTAGCTTATTTTTATATTTTTAGTGGAGATGGGGTTTTACTGTGTTGGCCAGCCAGGTCTTAAACTCCTGGCCTCAAGTGATCTGCCTGTCTTGGCCTCTCAAAGTGTTGGGATTATAGGTGTGAGCCACCATGTCTGGCCAGGACATTTCTGAAGGGCAAGATGGGCTTGGCCGGAGCAACAGAGCTTGTAATGCCAGCACCAGTTCAGCTTCCCAATCTCTGGGCTCTACCTGGAGGGTCTCCTTGTGGCAGTCCCTCTCCATTCCTTCTTTAGCTCTCCTCAGTCTGCTGGAGACCACCCATACAGAGAGAGGTAGTGCTTTGCACAGATACAGTGGAGATGCCTGCTCTGGATAGGGAGACTATATAACTGCATCCTAGGTTGGTAGCCAGAAACTGAAAACTATGCAAAATAATCCTGACTGCCCACCAAATAAAACCAACCACAAAAACAACAAAGAAGGAGCCACCAAAGGATTTCTAGTTGTTGGCTTGTATAAGAGATAATATCCACTGAAATTCTAGAAGAAGGCTCCTTAGAATAATTTTTGTAAATATAAAAGTCAGCCTCTAAAGCTGAAAGAATATATTGTACATGTCCAGATGGCTGGGATACTTGTCGAGAGAAGAAAGGCTAGAAACAAGTTAAATCCTCATCGAGACGAGGGAGCTCATCCTTCATGGGCTCCGTGGTCTTCCCTTTCATACCTGAATCTCATCTCCGTGTTCTCCGATCACCTCCACCAATCTCGAGAGAAGGTCAGATAAAGCATGTGCTGACAGAGGTTGCTTGAGGGCTCGGAATATCTGGAAGGACCGACCAGCATAGTGCCTTGAAGAGCTTGCGAGGGCTGTTTGCAATGCAACTTCACTCAATTGGTGCTCCAGATGGAAGCCTAGAGCAAGAGGAGCCATAGAACAGGTCTTTCTCTACTCCACTGCTCTGGGGCATCAAAGTTACCGTAAGTTTAAAACAGGCTAACGGCACAGGGCTACCTAGTGGTGGTACTTATTTACAAGTCAACCATTTTTTTTCTTTTTTTTTTTTTTTTTGAGAAAGCGTCTCACTCTGTTGCCCAGGTTGGAGTGCAGTGGCATGATTACAGCTCACTGCAGCCTCTACCTCCTGGGCTCAAGTCATCCTTCCATCTCAGCCTCCCAAGTAGCTGGGACTACAGGTGTGTGCCACCATGCCTGGCTAGTTGTTTGTATTTTTTGTAGAGATGGGGGTCTCACTATGTTGCCAAGGCTGGTCTTGAACTCCTGGGATCAAGTGATCTGCCTGCTTTGCCCTCCTAAAGTGCCTGAATTACTGGCATGAGCCACCATGTCACCATGTCAGGCTTTTTTTTTTTTTTTTTTAAGACAGCATCTTTCTTTGTTGCCCAGGCTGGTCTTGAACTCCTGGGCTCAAGGAACCCTCCAGATTCAGTCTACTGAGTCGCTGGGATTACAGGTATGTGCCACTGCACCCAGCTCATTTTATAATAAAAACAAATTCTGAATAAATCGTAGGGAAGTATATTGTAGTAGAAAAAGGCTTTGGAACAAGATGGTGCTGGTATTGAATTGGGGCTTTCTAGTTCTGGGAAAGAAATTTGTTCTCCATGAATCTTTCCTTATCTTTAACTTCTCTCATACAGTTATTGTGAAAATTAAACAACGTATAAAGTGCCTAGTACAGTGTCTGAAACATAACGTAGGCTCACAAATGTATTATTTATTACCTCACTATTTTCGTATGTTATTCTTCTGTACTACTTTTGTTGCGCAGAATACTCACTCCTTTTTTTTTGTCGAGTTTGTTAGAGTAGAGGAAATTTCACAATAGAGGAAAGCTGTTAGTGGACCTAGTCAACTCAAAACACAACTAAGGCCCCTGCCAAAGTCTTTGCTTTATTGATATGCAGATATTGAAAAGCAGACACTGTGAGGAAGGCAGGCATAATTTAAACTTTTGCCTGAATATTTGTTTTTCTGATTGTAGAAAGGTAATCTCAGTAATCAGAAAACCATTTGATCAGATGGGAATGAAAATGTAACATAAAGCTCATGACTGAATTCAGTGTCATTAAACTATACACTTGCTATGCTTCTCTGCAGGGAGAAAAGCAGACGACAAGGGTAGGAGGCCTGAATGAAAACAGAGACAGGCTGTCTCTATGTCGCAGAGGCTCTGAGGACACATTTGGCTGCTACATCAAAGTGGGCCAGAAGGGATAATTCAATGTCATTGTTCTTAGCTGCAGCTTGGCTACCTGGCCCTAGGGACAAACAGACTATACAAGAAAATGTTCCTGCAGAGAAAACAGAGGACCCTGGAAAACTGACCTCAGACACATTCAGAGTAGTAAATGTAGGATTAAACCCATAGAGGAAATTCATATCTTATGAATGATGTTTCAAAAAAACTTTTTATGTCTTTATTTTAAAATAAAGGTTTAAAAAATAAAATAAAATAAAATAAAGGTTTGTCTGCTTAGCCTATTTTATGTGTGGAGGTTAGGTACCTCGGCAATGAGCAAATGCTTATTTAAATCACAATGAACTTGAGGGTTAGAACCGTATTAGCAGGACTTCAGACTCCACCACCACAACAGTGTCCTTTGAGAAAATGGAAAGGTCCTTCAGGGCCCCAGTTCTGGCCAATGGAATGTGGGAAAAAAACCACTGGATACCCCATTTAAGTCTGGGGTATCAATGCATCCTAAGGAATTCTCTTCTCACTCTTTCTTCCTCCACCTGCTAGCTGGATGCAGAGGGCCCAGCAGAGGCCTTAGCCTAGGGGGTGGCACAGCTACAGGCTGGAGGGTCCCTGAGGCACCTAGTGGAAGGCCACTTGCCAAACACCTGCACTGAACTGTTAAAGGACCCAGGAATATAACCTTTTGTTGTGTTAAGCCTCTGAGCTCTGGGGGTTGTTTGTTAGAGCAGCTATGCCGCCCAGACTAACACAAGTGTTTCCAGGAACACATTGTGTATGTGTAGAGAAAACAGGCCAAAAGCAGGGATGTACAAAGAAATCAGAATTGGTAAAAATTGACTGATCAAGGTGTAAAAAGACTTAGATTCTATATAGCCTGAAGTACCCTCCAAGAATTCAGTATAAGGCATTTATATATTTTCTCATTTTTATTATTTTCATTCAATCAAAGATTTTAGATTAATTAATGGTTTACATAAAATTGTAAATTTCTTCCTTTGGTTGTTATTAACGGGTTATTAATTTGGGCAATTATTAGTTGGCTTTCGAAGTCTTAATATTTTAAACAAATTCCAAAGGGGAAGCTGAAAACAAGAAATGGAAGTCTATTCCTGGAATGACTCTCCCATTTTGGTCTGTCAGTATTTTTTGATTTTTAGTAAGTGTCCTGTGATAATGAAAAGATACGTGGCTAATCCAAAATGTGTTAAACGGGGAAATGCGCTAATTATCAGAGCAGCTGGAAAAATCAGGGAGCTGGATTTAACTGTCAGCCTGGTGTGAGAAAAAAAGGTAGAGGTGGTTTTACAACATACTGAGGAACCAGATTTAAGTTTAATACACAGACAGCCCAGGCCAACTTGGATCTGAAGGAATGCAGCAGAAGGCAAACACTTAAGTATTATGATGCTACTACAGCTTAAATAGGATGCACTCTGTATTTAGAATACTGAATAGTCATGTGCACAGGAATTATTAGCAAACACTTTTAAAGCCAAAACCATTTTATCACAAATTCTTTTTTTTTTTTTTAAAAAAAACAGTTTTACCATTTCAACCAGCCATCAGACTGACCATTTTTCATCGTTGAGACTGATGAGAGTCAATTAATGAGATTTATTCCTCATAGCCTTCTTTAAAGAAAATGTTATAGGCATAGTTTAATTCTAGTAACGGAAATGAAAGAAGTAGAACAAATATATTGGGAAAATTATTTGATATAGCATAATGCAAATATATATGGCATTAAATACCATGCAGTTAGCAGCATCTGAACAAGGTTCAAAACTCCCCTGTCCATATGCTCGTGCTATGGATGTGGACTGCAGGACCACTCTAAGGCGCTGTAATCATCATACAGAGATAGTGTCCATTACAGAGCAATGCTGAAAGAGGGATCTGGGCAAATAGGATGAAGTACCTGATTTGGAATCTTTAAATACAGACACAACGTGACGTAGAAAATTAGTGAGCTGTTCAGCACTCTTTGAGTTTTGATTTTTAGGTGTGATGTCTTCATGGCACCAAAGTGGACCAAATGCCCTTAAACAAAACACATAAAATGTCAAAAATATAACCGTCATTTTGCATTTTTAAAACTATACATGCAGTCCTGACTCCAAAGGTAAAACATATTTAAAATATTTGTAATCTATGCATATGACAAAGGTCTAATATCCAGCATCTATAAGGAACTTTAACAAATTTATAAGAAAAAAACCAAACAACTCCATTTAAAAGTGGGCAAAGGATATGAACAGATACTTCTCAAAAGAAGACATACATGCAGCCAACAAGCATATAAAAAAAGCTTGGGCCGGGCATGGTGGCTCTCGCCTGTAATCCCAGCACTTTGGGAGGCTGAGGTGGGTGGATCATGAGGTCAGATCGAGACCATCCTGGCTAACACAGTGAAACTCTGTCTCTATTAAAATATAAAAAATCAGCCAGGTGTGGTGGCACGCACCTGTAGTCCTAGCTACTTGGGAGGCTGAGGCAGGAGAATCTCTTGAACCCGGGGGTGGAGGTTGTAGTGAGCCAAGATTGTGCCACTGCACTCCAGCCTGGGTGACAGAGCAAGACTGTCTCAAAAAACAAATCTCAAAATCCCAGTGAGATACCATCTCATTCTGACACCAGTCAGAATGGCGATGATTAAAAAGTCAAAAAACAACAGATGCCAGCAAGGTTGTGGAGAAAAAGGAAGGCTTTTACACTGTTGGTGTGAATTTAAATTAGTTCAACCATTGTGGAAGACAGCGTGGTGATTCCTCAAAGACCTAGAGATGGAAATACCATTCAACCCAGCAATTCCATTACTGGGTATATACCCAAAGGAATATACACTGTTCTATTATAAAGACACATGCATGCATATGTTTACTGTAGCACTATTCACAACAGCAAAGACATGGAATTAACCCAAATGCTCATTAATGATAGACTGGATAAAGAAAATGTGGTACATATACACGATGGAATACTAAGCCACTATGAAAAGATACAAGATTATGTCCTTTGCAGGGACATGGACGGAGCTGAAGGCTATCATCCTTAGCAAACTAATGCAGGAACAAAAAAACAAATACCACATATTCTCACTTATAAGTGGGAGCTAAATGGACACATGGAGTGGGGAACAACACACACTGGGGCCTACCAGAGGGCGGAGAGTAGGAGAGAGAGGATCAGGAAAAACAACTAATGGATATTGGGATTAACACCTGGCTGATTAAACAGCCTGTACAGCAAACCCCCTTGACACATGTTTACCTATGCAACAAACCTGCACATCCTGCACATGTACCCCTGAACTTAAAGTTAAAAAAAATTTTAAACAATTTTACGGGCCGGGCGCGCTGGCTCAAGCCTGTAATCCCAGCACTTTGGGAGGCCGAGGCGGGTGGATCACGAGGTCAAGAGATCGAGACCATCTTGGTCAACATGGTGAAACCCCGTCTCTACTAAAACTACAAAAAATTAGCTGGACATGGTGGCACGTGCCTGTAATCCCAGCTACTCAGGAGGCTGAGGCAGGAGAATTGCCTGA